TTCGTATTGTGTCGGTAGTTTGTCGGCCAAGGCTTTCGTAGTATGTCGGTAGTGTATCGGTATTGGTTATATCGGATTCTTTAACTCATGACTGCACCAATCAATTTTTCTCAACATGGAAAGTGACATTTGGCCGCAAAGTATCTTAAGTGCCATATATTTGTTAAAGTGACAAACACCATTTCGCAAACTACGATGGAAGATTTAGTAAACTACTTTGAATAACATTTCCTACGTGGAAAACATCAAAGCACCATCAAGTAATCAATCAATCAATCACTGAAACGAAATGTTGATAACTATTATTCTTCCTCAAGAGTTACGTTTAAATATATTTCCCGTCTTCCGCTTCATCTTTAGTGAAAATGATGACAGGTGTCTTTGACTGATTTATTGTCCGAGAGGCTCAGGATAAATAAAATTAAATAAGAGATCCAATTCCCAAGGCAAGAGAAAAATCTTGTGCTTTAAAATGTAATGCTGTTAGTTAACATACTACAAAGTAACTTCTTTGATATTTTTAACGAAGGTACTTTCAGGAAGTTCAGATATTATGCGTGAAAACCTTGAAACCTTCCAATTACAGTTGATGTTATTGTCCTGTTGTTAGAGATCGAATCATGGCACCCATCTTGTTTTATTCTTCTTGAAATTTCACGAAACCCTTTTTCCATAGTGCAGGATTTGCAATTCAATTCAATTTACACTGTCTGAAAAGAAAACCTTAGTGATGGGTAAACAGTAACTCGCCTTGTTTTTGTAGTTTATTTCTACTCTCAAACGAATCCCACAGCACTCTAAATCAATTTCCAAGGAAGTTTATTTCAACGCATGCGATGCTACTGAATTTTGTAGCATCAGCAACTCCTGGTTTATAAATACCAGAGGCCATAAAGGTCTATGATAATTTCTCTTATTCCTCCTTAAAGTTTGTGCACTTCATTTTAAGTAGCTCTTTACATGTCTTTCGAAACTTCTTATTTCTATAGCAATATATGATCGGATTGCACAGAGAATTAAACCAGAGAACCGATACGAGAACGGGCTGGGACAAAACTATTACGTTTACAATGTAACTACTGCTCTTAAAATAGATGGGCAAAAAGAAATAATGCACATTCGCCGGCAAAAAACACACAAGCAAAGTCATTGTAATTATCCTGGTAGTTTTCAGAGCTTTCTTTTGCTTTGCAAAGTCAGCAGCGGCTTGTGGTGAAACTTGTTCACATTTGATTCGTTCCTCGTGACGGCGAGTTACAAAGTAAACCG